ACTGACAATTACAACTTTGTTCAGTCTCCCCTCTCATGTCCTCTCTGTACACAAACAGCATTTATTTGTCTGCAAGGGAAAGGCAGGAGTGTTCTGGAGAGCTCTCCCTAAAACCATGCCAAAACAACCAATTAGTGCCATTACACTCATGCTTTCCACTTGCAGTTAAAGCCTTACTATTATTAGATGTACTGATACGTTTGCAGAAGTGCCCATTATGAGACGTCAGCCTTCTGAACTCTTTTGTTCCACAGCAGAGCCCTCCAAATTGTTCACTTAAAGGTCACTGAATTCCTCTTTGATCAGTCTGTTAGAAAACGCTGTATGTGAACCCTACCTTGTAAGAGAGAAACTGAGAAATACCAAATCTATCACTGGTTGTAAACACAAACACGGTGTGCAACATTCATTTTAGTGTCCTGTACTGAAGCAGACACCCAAACAGGCTCTTCTGGGAGTAACAGTCAGGAAACAAGCATGGGAGTGAACTAACATTCCTCAAACATTTTCAAACACGCAGGGAGGTGTTTTCTAGAGTACGCAATGCAAACAAAAAAGGTACACTGAGCTCTGACCTTAAACCGAGCATGCTAAGTCAAACAACTCCCACCCAAGGACAGTGAGATCACACTTTGTCAAGCCAGTTGATGACCAAAGTTAATTCCATCAGAGTAGGCACCTTGGTAGACTATAATAAACACAATGCACTGTTAGGGTTATTAAGAGGCTAAAAGGGTGTACATGCTGTGTCTTGTTTGTGCGGTAATGCAGAGCTGTGCCCCTGATGCACGCTCTCACTGGTTCTACTAGACAGGTTCCCTCTATTAACCGCAAAGGTCACTTCATGTGTAATGACTAACAAGAGAGCCTGTGTTTATCCCAGAAGTGAACACCAAAATGGATTCTGCCATTGAAATAGCAAGGTGTAAACAAAGTAAAATATAGACCGGTTCCTCCCATGCACAAACATTCAAATGGATTTGAATGTTTTTCAAAAATTACCATATAAAAATATAAAATTTCAAAGGTTTTTTTAAACCTACTGCATTTTCTGCTTTTCTGTGTCTTCTGCAACAGTAAACTTATCTTCCAGTTCCAGAGATCTGACTGGACAAAGCACACAATCTGAATATGTCAACCTGGGCCTTGATTGATGAAATATACAACTGGAAAAAAGTCTTTTATTCAACTGAAAGTCACAAAATGCAAAACAATTCAGGTGCATTTTGAAATGTTTAAACTATCTTGTAATCACTGTCACTTCAGTTCTACTTTCTGAGTATGAACTGTCATATGCTGAAAGAGAGAACAATATGCAAGCACTGTTAAAGGTTTTGCCACAAACTCAGCTGACTGGCTTCTTTCCTGTATGATTTCACATGAATTTCTTCAGACCTTATAACTGTGCATGAACTATGCATGAGCTTCCAACGTCTAACTCAAGCTGTGTGTGACCCAACATAACTCCCTTCCACAAATTGAACACAAAAAATAAAAACAGTATAAATTGCAAAAATAAATAGTCTTATTTTTAGTGCAATCATAATCAAAGCAGTACTGCCTCAATACTCAAAGTGCAAACAGAGACTGACCAATTTTTCCTCTCTCTCATGATTGTCTTGGCCCCAGTGCTTGACTGTGGAAGTTGAGATGCAAATGCATTTGTCAGCATTACCTTTCAATGCTTTCTGCACAGTAGGGCTGCACCAACTAACCGATAAAACTTGATAATAAAAATAGTTGGCAACAAATTTAATTATCGATTAGTTGGACCTAGTCATGTAGATGTGTGACGACCAAGAGCAGGCAGTTGGCTCAGCGACTGAGTACTACTGTTTCACACTAGAGTTCAGTAGGTGGCAGTAATGCACCGACACATTGATCTGCCAGCCAACAATCAAAAGGAAGAAGAACAAGAGAACGCCATCATGTTTATATGTTTTATGAACATATAGCCTAAATTTGTTTAAATCACAAAAGTTTGTCTCCATTAACACAGTAAGGATCTGTTGTGCACTTTATAAAAAGCTCTATTCTTGAACAAATCATTTCTGCACTGCATAGAAACACTGCATAAGCACTGGTTAAAAGAATGCATTTGTTTTGGTAAGGTTGAAAATAGATTTCTGAATGTTTTTATAAATCCAATTAATTGTAGAAATAATCAAAAGATTAACTGATTATTAAAATAATCGTTAGTTGTAGCCCAATTTCACAGGTGAATAAATACTGTAACCTTTCAATAGCACAAGATCTCGTCACACCCCTATTGGCAGCCAAATAAATAATGAAAATATTCATTATTTTAACAATATCAGTTCAGGTTAAAACAACATTTTCTTCATGCAAAAGAGGCACTCAAATAGAGGTGCAAAGATGACTCGAATAGTAAATGAGCAATTATTTTAATAAACAATACCTTGTAAAGCTAAAATGTCAAATGTTCCCATGTTCCAGCTTTGTACAGTAAAATATAGGATATCAGCCTTCTTAGCTGTTCATTGAACACCAAATATCTTTGAGTTTTGAACTGTTGGACAGCCAAAACAAGACATTTTGAAGATGTCACTGGACTGAAATTGTCCCCCTCCCCCACAATATTCTGACATTAATTAGTTAATTGATCATGAGAGTAACCTCTAACAAAATAATGCAGTTCTAGGCTTAAAATCTTTAAATTCTTCTATACCATCTATCTACTGAAATGTAGTATAAAAGTAATCCATTAAATTAGACTTTATTTAGGTATTTACATTAATCATCTGAAATCAAATATGACTTAAGTGAATATGAAGAATAGAATATACAGGCAAACAGCTTTGATGTCACACCCTATATCAGCAAGACCGGGAAGCACAACAGTAATCCAACACCACACGCTTCAAGGCAAAAAGAGCAACATCCAGTACCCAGCCTGTTTACTGCATCTTAAAGGAGGAGGAACATGCAGGCCAAGCAAGGCGAGTAGCAAAAGCACAAGGAATGAACTTTGCTGTTTGAGTATAAAAATGTAACTGAGCAAATTACAAGATAACATATCAGCTATGACAGTACAATAACCACGTGAATGAGGTCACTCCAACACAAAGCTGCCCTCGGGTTGAGCTCACTCAGCCTTTATTAAGGTCACTTCAAAATTAAAGGCTACACTTATGGGCGTACAAGTGTGGGGATAAAGTTAACAGTCAAGCATCCTTATTTTTAAAATTTCCCCTTACATAAGAGGGCGTGTATTTTCCAGTTCAACACTAATGCAAGGTTTATTTTATTCCTGTTACGCCTGAACTACACCCATTCGACGTCAAACCACAAATGTCATCCTGACTCATTTCACACATATGGGTGTGAGCAGATGTACTGTAAACAGGTAAATGGAACCAAGGAATCAGCAGGATTAACAGCACAATGTGAGAAAATGATTTCCAGACAAGCTGCCAGTGATAGAGTCGGCTTTACAACAATATATGAAGTAAAAGCCTAAGCCAGCCATTCAGGTTTGGTCCAGGTGAGTGAAACAAGACAGACGGAAGTGATGAGATTAGAATAAACTTGGGCTTTTCCCCCACCAGTTCCATTGTTTTCCTCCCAGACACTGATAAACAGATTCCATCACTATGCCCATGTTTTCAAAAACCTGCTTTTGTTCCATTTTGTGAGGTGTCACTGTGTCATGACAAGACTGAATTATTGATCTGCCTTAGAAACTAAGACATTTTGCATTAAACTACTCTGCACCAACAGGTCAAGCAAGAAACGTTTTACAAGACCCATGTGATTCCAAAATCAAAACACAGAGAAGCAGTGGCTAACCACTCACCCAAAAAAAAAAAAAAAAAGCTTAGCCTAAAGGGTCAAAAACAGACAGAGTGAAATAATCCAATAGGCAACATGACAGCCACGTCAGTCACAGTAAAACTGGGACCAGTTCAGCAGCCAAGTTTTGACGGACTTTGTCTGGTAAACAAACCTAACATTCGTTTACCTTTTATAGGAAGATTCCAGTTTATCCAAGCCTCAATGTTTTATTATGAAATAAGAAATAACTCGGTAGGCCCATATAACAGTAGTCACTTACTCTGTCTTTTGACGAGACTTGTTGTCATATAGCACTAGTAGATTTATCACAGCTTGACCCAGGAACTTGTCGAGCCCCACCTGGGCACGGTGCATGACTATGATATACAGCGTACAGCG